ACTTCTTGAAATGGCTAACAAATGGAGAACAGTTTCAATTTAAAAAGAGGTTATATACATTGAAGAAGTTCCCCACAAAAGCTAGGGGCAAAGGTCACTGTAACTTCATTCTAAAACCAAATATGATTCAATCTGGAGTCTGCACCTACTTCCCTGTTCATTTCTCTCTAAATTACTATAACTTGTTTTTTTAGAAAAAAGTATGAGTATTAATAATAAAAATTCAGAGGCTATGCAAAACTCAAAACATCAGAAATAGAAAACATGCATAATTACATTTAGACAGAAAAAAAAAACTCATGTCAGACCCATAATTTCTATTTTGTCCCTAAAATAGCTGGATCCCTCAAGCCATCTATGCTGAAGGTGACTTGGAAAGAAATATCCCTCATCATACATTAATATAAAACAAAGTTTTAAGATTTTTGTAGGACTGAGGCAAAAATGAAATGAATTCCCACTCTAATAGAAAGTGATGTAAGGCATGTGAGCAAGGCCTTGGGGCAACCCACAAGGGGCATTAGTTGCTTTCTGGGAGCTGAAGTTGAAACTTGAAGGATGTGAACATTTGCCAGGCATAGAAAAGCAGAAAGGATTTACCAGGGAGAAGAAACTGCCTCCCAGAAACTGCTAGAAGCCCCGTGGGCCTGGCTGGGGTGGTGAATGGTGGGGATTAGCAGGTCAGCAGAGGGGTGGGGGGACCTGGCTACCCACAGCCTTTGTCAAGCTGTTGGCAGTGGAGAACCAGGTACCAAACCATACTGAGTGGCTCAACCAAACCTCTGCTTTATTCCTTCCGTAAGGACACATTTAAAAAAAAAAAAAATTTGGTGTTTAAAAGAAAAAAAAATCTTGATATACTAGTCGAGTAAGGCTCTATGAACATTTCTCCGAAAATTCTCATCACCTCTGCGGAAACCCAAAGCACCTTTTGGAATTCTTTCAGTGGTCTGTCTTAATACTTCTGGCGTTCCTTGACTCCAACAATGGCAAAATCGTCTTAGCACTCTACTTGGAAGTTGTTTGAACCACTGTCCCCTGGAGGAAGGAATGTGTTTGGCCCTGCTGGATGCCTGCGGGAGGGCTCTGATGGGGACCGCCACTGGATTCCCCCGCCCCCGCACCCCACACCGCAGACTAGATTTCTTTAAACAGCGGATTGGCGCCATCCAGTGGACAAGTCCTAGAATACAACTTGGGGACTTGTAGATTTTTGAAGGGGGTCCAGTTGAAATGTCAAGTTTCTGATCTGCATTCTTTCTCTGTAAAGTTTAACGGCCATCCCAGGAAACAGGGTTTTGTTTTTGTTTTTGTTTTTTTTTTCTTCATGTTGCGGCAGTGCACTGTGAAGAAAGCCCCAGTCCTAAGTTTTCACAAACTAACTCAGTGACCTTGGATAAGTCTACATCCTCTCTGAACTGTTCACCCTCACCCACCTTTTTCTTTTTTTTAACCACTTTCATATTTTTAGTGTCCACAGTTTTTCAGTGGCACAATTGTTTTAGTATTTCTTCATTATAATTTATAAGTAAAATTGGCATAAGTCCAGGTGGAGAAAAAAATATTTCTGGCATCTTGAAAATTCAGAAAATGATTTATAGCTACCTGTCATTAATTTATACATCAACAGCTCTTGAATGCATATTTCTAAGAATGGTCTGAAAAACTTTAAACTAAAATTGCATAGTAGAGAGGAAATAGCTGACCTTTGCAGCCAGATAGGCCTAAATTTAAATCCCACACCTGCCATATTCTGCATGACTTTGATAATTTACTCTCCTTCCCTGAACTTGCCTCCTCATAATTCCATAGAGATGGCACATCTTTCATGTGTCAGGGTCAGGGTTACGTGACATAACACCTGCGGAACAGCAGACACTGGGACTGATACACAGATGTGTCTGTTTAATGGACTCGACTGCTCCTGTTTCATCTCTGCAGTTTTTCTATTTATCTTCAGCAAATCATCCTGCCCAGAGACCAGGACTCTTCTGCCAAATGAAGATCATAATTCATTCTTAAGGTTATACAGATGCAAAGACATAACCACTCCAAAGCACCTGGCACTTTATGGGTGTTTAACAAACACTAGTTTCTTTCTTTCTGAAAGTGCTAACCCATTGCAAATAATTACGGTATTTGATATAAAGCTAAAATTGTGTCCATCCCATACTATCTTCCTTTATTTTTCTCTCAAATGTACACACATACCCTTGTTACATTCTCACCTCATTTTTCCCATCTCTTTCATCAAAAGTTAACCCATTTGACATTTCAATTCAATTGCCAAGTAGGGTGGCACATGCCTATAATCCCAGAGACTTGGGAGGCTGAGGCAGGAGGGATCACAAGTTTGAGGCCAGCCTAGAAACTTAATGAGGCCCTGTTTCTCCAATAATAATAATAATAATAATAATAATAATAATAACAAAAAACACAAGAGCCTCTTAAAAAGGAACAGCAAGTTTGTTGCAGAGTTGCCATGGTGTTTATCTATTCCTCACACCAGAAGCATGGGTCCTTCTTTTGCACAGTTATGCACTCACCTATCCACATCCTGCTATGGTCACGGCTCCCTCTGCTTCAACCATAGCAACACCAGATACCTCGTCAGGTATCATCTCTCCACCCCCATTGGTCAGTTTCCTCCCTTCTAAAGTTTGCATCTCTCTAGTGGGTAATCAGAGAAGTCCTCCAAGGCCTCCTCCCCACAGCAAGAAAGACTGCCTCTATGTTCATGCTTCTGAACCACATCTTTCTGTAGGAAGAGATCAGAAAAAGAATTAAGGTTTTTTGAGCATATGTTAATACATTTGACCTTGCTGTGACTTTTACAAGTCAGTATTACTCTCTGCATTACAGATGAGGACATAGAAGAGCTGTTCACTCCTTGATCAAACAAAATATTGCCAAGCTCTGGGAATGCAACAGCAAACAACAGACACAACCCTTCTCTCTCAGATCCACGGGATCTTACAAAGGATGAATCCAGGAAGAGGAAGGAAAATAACAATAGATGAGTCCAATTGTGAAGACGGGTGCTATGAAAGGGTGGAAGAGGGGAATATGCCCCGTCTCTGGGGTTAGAGAAAGTGTACCTAAAACCGGGCATTAAGATCTGGAGGTTTGGGGAGATCACACAGGTGGGCAGTGTGTGACAGAAATAGGACTGAAATCCAGGTGAGCTTGGTAGCTCTGTGCTTCATAGCCTCTCCTCTGATAAATTCTTGCATTGATGTCATGGAGCTTTGGCTTGTGATCCACACCTCTTTCTCCTCAATGGATTGCAGCTCCATGAATACAGCAGTCTTGTCTCCCAGGCATCTACGCAGTATGAGTAATATGTATAAGTAAATGGTTCTTTAATTTTTCAATATATGCATTTGTATATCATTTTCCATATTTAATAATATTACAGGGATGCAAAAGTGCCTAGATTCTGCACTGTATATTATTTCTTTTTTTTTTTTTTTTTTTTTTTTTTTGAGATAGAGTGGGGGGGGGAGAGAGAGAGAGAGAGAGAGAGAGAGAGAGAGAGAGAGAATTCTTTTAATATTTATTTTTTAGTTCTCGGCGGACACATCATCTTTGTTTTTTGTATGTGGTGCTGAGGATCGAACCCGGGCCGCACGCATGCGAGGCGAGCGCGCTACCGCTGAGCCACATCCCCAGCCCCTGTATATTATTTCTTTAACCAACACATTTGTATGGTTTTAGAACATAACTCTCTCTGAGCACCTCGGCCCTTCCATGTCAAGCTCCTTTGATTCAGATGTTTGACTGCTTTGTAGGCCAAGGTGATTGGATCAGCATGTAAGAGACATAGCGGCTACAGTCAGTTCTGCAGGAGATGCAACTTGGAAACAACTCACTCATCTAATTAAAATAACATTGTCCTTGTCCTCCTGAAATGTTGAATGGCACAGAGCTCATTTTCAGCTTGCTACCCACACTATCCTTGGAGATGAAAGAGGAGTCCCTAGCCAGTGCCCAGGCTTGTGCTAGGGGTCGGGGATACAAAGGTGGAAGCATGTGTTGTGATATGAGAAGTGTTTCCTCTTCTGGACCCTTAGTAATGTGCAGTCCAGTAGGGCCCACAGACATGCCCAGCACCCACACACACTCACAAAGTTCCAACCAGTATACCCTATGCAAGGACCAGGTGTGCACAGGTGGAGGGAATGGATGTCTCCACTGTGGTTGGTATCGAGTGCCAGAAGTTCTTTCAGGCAGGTGGAAGTCATCTTTTCTGAGTTGGGAAAATGAATGTCAATTAACCAAGTAAAGAGGGGTAGGTGGGATGTGGCAGGAACTAGTCATAGGCAAGGGTTTCAGCCCATGCAGAGTCCCAGAGGAAGAAAAAGGATGGCACATTTGGGATCCGTGAATGCCCGCAAAGGCCAGGCACATGATGTGTATGGGTGAATGTCAGGTGACTGCACGTCAGACACTTTGGTACAGTCTTCATTTCCATGAAGAATGTCCTCTCTTCTGCTTTTTATTGACTTTTACATATTGAAATTATTCTTCATTTTCCCATCTTTGACTGAAACTTAGCTAAAGAGAAGTTGTTCCTCTAAAAATAGCCGTCCAAATCCACTTAGCATACTGGTTGGCAAGTGATGCTTCCCTTGGGGACACAACTGAGAGTGTGTGTGTGGGGGGGGGGGACTGGGACAATCTGGAGAGCATTTTCTCTGTCTGAAGAGGACAGCCATTCTTCAACTCCAGCTGCTCTGTGGCTCTAGATCTTTCAAAGTTTTAGAAAAAGCAAGCAACTTGGATTTTTGGCAAGACAATAAAACTCTTTAAACAGTACCTTAATTATAGAATATATAAATAAATAAGCCTGTGGACTGAATGGAACACATCCGCATGCTGAACCTTATTCATGGTCCATGCTTGCAACCTGCAGGTCCTGAGAGTGCCTTCAGAATCCTCATCCCATCATTGCTGTGCCTATAGTTTCTTCTAACCATCCTTCTTTCCTTGCTTTCCAGAAAGAGATGACGAGCAGGATGTGTCACTAATGCTCCATCTCGTCCTTCGGAAGAAAGGAAAGCCGTTTCCTCCTGGAGCCCCAGGTGGACAGAAAGCGGACCTCCCTGGATGAAATGGTGCACCTACTTCCTGGAGCAGAAGAGGTGGAGTCGATCAGTGACCCCCGAGAGACACGTTCCCCACTCACTTCATGTGCTCTTAACCCTCTGAGTGCTGCTAGACCAGACCTGTGGACCAGAAGACCACAACATGGAAGAAGGACCAGCCCTTGACCCTTCCGGCTCAGGAATCGTCCAGGAGGGGCCTCTGCATTTCCGTGCATGTCATGGTTCTGCCTGTGACCTGCCGCCTAAGCTTTACTGGAATTCAGGTTTTAAGACTGAGATGTTTATTAGTACCTTTCCACTTACCTGTCTTGTCAGCCGGTTGACTTTTAGGTCATTTGTTTTCTAAGTACCAAGTGAATTTGGGAACTTTGGATACACAGCAAGCCTTCCTTTTGGGTCTCTGAAAGCTCCCACTCTGATCCTGTGGCTTCACATTCTGCAGGGCTGTGGAGCTGTGAGATCAGAAGCCCATCTGGCAGCATCCATGCCATTTCCCTAAGAAGCAGTTCTATCAGGGACCACTCCAGGGCCTGGCTTGTCTCTGTTCCAAACAGGGTCTTCACAATCTAACTCCAGGGAAGAGACTGGCCACTCGCAGAAAGCTAACAAGTTACCAGTTTGCCCTGATCAGAATGTACATTTTTTTAGTAAGCATCATTCCCTGACTCTCCTATTGATATTCTTTCCTGTTTCCCAGAAAAGAGAAATAAAAGAAAGTTACAAATGACCAAGAATGGTCAGTAAGATCCCTGAGCCACATTAGTGCGGTGTTTGTTCTGTAAAGAGCAGGGAGTCCTGGCTGGACAATTGGTTATTTGGTGTATGTCAGTGATACACCCACTCTGTTGATTTGTCACCTTACTCACTGGCTCTCTGAGCTTGAAACCCAACCAGTCTTCTTTCTCCTCTGCCATGTTATGGCACAAAATTAACTCCTGGAAAGTCCCATTGATTGTGCCCAGTTACCAAGGTGGCAGTAGAGCTGGAACTAACTTTGTTATTCCATTTTTTTCCCCCAATTTTTCTCTTTCAGTAGACAGAATAACACAGTCTGCACTGTGCCCTGCCTTTTGAAACCTAACATAGTTGTAATTGATGAAATGTCGACTTCTCTGATTCATTCACAAAAACCGTGGTCCTGTCAGCCCAGCCTGTGACGAGGGGGTAATAATACTTCCAGTGATAATTTGAGTTTAATGAAATATCTGTTGGTGGAGGGAAGTAGATAAGAATGTATTAGCACACTTAATATAATAACAATTAAAAGAGAAATGAGCGACTCTGGATTTCTTTTATTATACATAATGTGTTAACATCATTTGTGGCTGCCGCGAAAGCCTAGAGGGCATGAAATCTCTGTCCAAACCAAGAAAGGGCTGACTGTGTGCACAGTGGCCTTCGACACTGACCCAACCACGTGGACAGATCCTTGCTTCCTATCTTATAAACATTGTCTCATGGAACCCAGACGCTGCTACCTCTCTCCATGTTGTTCACGCTGGTCAACAATAAACTTTCTTTTTTCTCTTAAGTAACTTTGAGAGGCAAAAATTTTTCTCATCCTAATTTTTGACTGGGATGGGGGGAAACTGTCTTAAGGATACAGAGGAAACAAGAGCCCCTAATTCCTGAAATGTGTAATATGCAATACCACATGGGAAATGCAGGATGGTGGGACAAAGAAATGGAGCCCATGCCCTTGAGATTTTTGTACCATGGAGAACCACAGGATGTTTGCATTTAGAAAGTTGAACATGTTCCTGCATTTCAATGATGCTTAATCAAATGGAAGGCTAGAATCTGAAGACATGTGTCATTAATAAAGTTGTTGTCTACTAACTGTATGAAATAAATCTAAACATCCAAACATTTTTTTGAACTTCTTGAAACATTCTCCTCATGGCTATGCGGCTAATTGCACTAATCAACTCTTCTAGAGTAAATTCTAGAAAACTGCTCTTGTAGTTTTTAATTACAGGATGTTCCTATTCTCACAAAACTTTGTTTGGCAAATTCTAAGGAAAGTCTTCATAGAAAAAAAAAATTTTTAACTCTTTGGCCTGATTTTGTCTTCCACAAATCTCTTACTGCAAATGGAGAATCTGAGCTTCTGGAAGCCTCCAGATTTCTACATTCCTCTGGGTCAGAGACTGGCAACCCTGCTTCTTTCTCCCAACCTGGTCCCCTCTCCTCCTTGTTTTCCCACTTGGGTGGGAGCAGGGGGAGTGAAAATTTCAAAGTTAAAAGATTATAATGAGTATCCTTATGCCCTTAAGTGCATCAATTAACATTTTGCCCCATTTTCTTTCTTACCATAAATACATGTTCTGAGTGTTCAATCGTTTGAAAATAAGATATAGCCATCATAAAACTTTAAGATTCTTCATCAAGCTCCTCTTAATATGACTCTTGCCCTGGTCATCTTCAATGTCATTATCACCTCCAAGAAACTGAACATCAACACAATCCCTGTTTGAAATTCTTCAACTGTCTCAAAATATTCTTTATAGTTTATTTTTTTTTAAATCTAGGATTCAATCAAGAATAACACTTTGCCTTTTATTGCCTTTCTCTTTAGTATCCGATAATGGACTAGAGTTTCCTTTTTGTGAATATGTGTGGTGAGGTGTGTTTGTGGGGCACTGTGTTGTGTTATGTGTACATGGTGCAGTGTGTCCATCAGTTCATGACTCTGACATCATCATCATTATGATCATTATTATCCTACATTATTATTCCTACTGGGTATTGAACCCAGGGACACTTTACCACTGAACAACATCCTCAGTTCATATTTAAAATCTTTTTATGTTGAAACGGGGTCTTGTTAAATTGCTGAGGCTGACCTTGAAATTGTGATTCTCCCATGCCAGCCTTGCAACTTGCTGAGATTACAGGCATGCACCACTGTACCCAGCTGACATTATTAAAGAATTTGAGCCACTTTACTCGTGGAATGTCCCACCATCTGGAGGATTTTGTTTGGTTGGTTTCCTGATTGTTTCCTCATTATGCTCCTTTTTTTTTTTTTGCAAGAATACTATGTAAGTCAGGTTGTTTCTTCCTGTTGCATCACATCAGGAAGCACATGTCTAACATCTCTTCATAATATTAAGAAGGATCAGTGGCTGCAGGTGCTATCTGGCTGGTCCAACCATTATCAACGTCTATGATTGATTATTAAGCTCTGAAATTCACTAAGCCTAGTTTTTATAGAAGGTGAAGCTATACATGTAAACATCCATTTCTTAATAACCAGAGTTCATGATCCCCAAAGAGACTACCCACTGCAGATAAATGATATACCAGTGGCAAAGGATTCATACCTTTCCATTTAACAGAAGGAAGAGAAACAGGACAGTTGCCTGTGTGGGCAATATGTGGGCATGCTGGCCGATGAGAATTTGTATGGTCATGTAGCCAGAGTTGAAATACATGTAACACTGCATCCCCCTATCCTTAATGACTTCCCACTCAGACCCATAGTTTATTCAGAGAACCTTCTTGTTGAGAGGAATTTCCGAATGTTTCTCGGAGGGAGAATCTTAGATCTTATAATATGTTGTAGCCCTCCAAAGGACCATAGCACATAATCAAATACAAAGTATTTATGTGGTATTAAAATCTTATGAAGGATGGAATAAGGGGTGGGAGGACATGAGTAGGAGTAAAATGCCAAAAAAGTTCCTCAGTAGAAAAATAATGGGGGAAAAAAGTAGAATAAGAAACACTCATCTAGAGTCATTCCTGCTCCTTAGGTTGTCAATTTTTTTCTTCCCTGAGTATTTTCTCATTTCTTAGGACCCAGAGTCTCAGATTCAGGATGAATGGGAGGAGCTTTGAGAGATTTCTTAATCCATTCCTTCTACCTCCCAGGCCATGTCAGTGACATTCCCATTGAAAATCTGTTCTCCTCTCACAGATCTCCAGGCATGGAAATTCTGTATCATCCTCTGGTAGAACCTACTGAAACTCCACAATATATGAAATCCTTCCACTTTGATTCCAGCAAAGTACTGTTTGAATTTCAGCACATCTTTTCTGTGTCCCACCTTTAATAAATCCAGGGACAGTGCAGCATAAGTAATTACATAATAAAGAGAACTTCATTTGCACATCTGTGAAGTTTTTCAAGACTGTTCCCAATGGTCCTTCAATCTTGTTTCCTTTAGAGTTCTCCCAATGACAGCACCTTCTTGGCTGACCTGTTGGTATCCATTTCTATTGTTCAACTAGAAAGCTTCCCAAAGCTCTTCCCCAAGTTTGCATTATGAATGTCACCAACCATAAACCTGATAAGAAATTAGTTCATGCCTTCCAGAAACCCTGTTGTGTCTTTGTTAAGTCCTGACTTTCTTTTTATACACTTATAGAATTTTAAAAGAAATTAAGTATCCATACAAAACTCTTCCCTATGTTATAACCAACCATTTTGGCTAACCTCCCTGAATTTTCTTTCTTCCTATTTTTAACATCTCTATTAGATTACACTGCTTGGGTTGGGTTGTTGTTTTCAATCACCTCTTTAACAGGAAAAACATGAAGGAACTAGAGTTCCACTCATCTCTTTGTGGTGGTTTTTGCCAATCTATCAGTGATAGAAGCACATCACTTCCTATGGTCTCTAATCTGGTGTCCCTTCCAAACCCCATTAGTATCACGCTGTAAGGGGGAAAAAAAAGCTGTAGGAAAAGTATGGCTATGTCTTCAAGAAATGGTAAAAAGGCACAATTAATAAGAGAGGGAGATGTCATCTGGATAACAACATTTCTCTTGCTGTGACCACTTTGGTCTTTGGGTGATTCTTAGAATTAGCCAAACAAAGTGTGTTTTGAAATAATGATTGCTTTCCTGCTTTAAAAAAATATATCAGCAAAACACTTTTATAATAGACTATTTCCCTCTGGGCAGGTATTAATTCTGGGTAAGAATTTTCAGTGACATTATGTAAGAATGTGTATAACATAGAGGGAAGAGTCCAGTTCTAATCAAACCATTAAGCTGTCATACTAGCTTCTTGTGTTCTGATTCCAGAGTTTTCTTGTATCTTTTCTACATACTTCTGGAAAAAAATGTTGACTATATTTTTAATTCCATTTGTTATTAAATTAAGGGTTTGACTATAAGAAAAATAGACTAACAATTAAATCAATTAGAAAAGCAAGATAAAACTAAAGGATATTTATAAAATCAGTTCTATGTGGGCTTAGAAATTCAAATGTCATAAATAAAAGACATGTAACCATCATCTGGTCTGCCTTTTTTAATGCTTGACTTATTTATTTATTTTATTTAATAATATTTAATTAATATCTATTGTGTTTAATTTCTTCATCTTAAAACTGTCCTGGAATAGTTTAATAAGAGGAAAAGTAAAAATTCTACAAAACATAATTCAAAATTTGTTTGAAAACATACATGCACATATTTGTATTTAGCAGAAGTTTCTTTATCCTATTACAGAATTTTCCAAGAGGCGTCAAGCATATAGTTTAGTTTCTCAACAGATTAGTGTTAGACATATTTTTTTCTTGTAGCAGGATTTAATATTAATTTGATGATAACCCAGTATATAAAGATAATAAAACCAGATCATAGAAAAAGTTCATTGATCAGGGCATGCAAACTCTATTTTTAATCTCTGGCTGGCCACTATGTTACTTGATTTTTAGGTAGTTTGATTGCTCCATGCCTGAACTGTACACTGGGATTATAGATTTGTTCATATAATAACTTATTGTAGGAGAATAAGGAAACATATTTGAAAAACTGGTAGTAAATATATATATATATATATATATATATATATATATTTTTTTTTTTTCAATGATATAATATAAGGGTTTGTCTAACATAGGGGGAGGCAGAGTCCATTTCTAATCAAAACAATTAAGCTGTCATACTAGCTTCTTGTGTTCTGATTCCAGAGTTTTCTTGTATCTTTTTTATATATATCTGGAAAAAAAAGTGTTTCTTTTTAAGTTTGTTGCCATTTAAAAATTGGGAAATTTCACATGTAAAAAATCAGAAATTTGGGCTTCTCTTATAAAATCAGATTTGGCAATACCAAGCTTTTTTTCTCATGTGACAGAAATTGGCTGAAAGGTGGCTGAATCACTGAGACAGCATATATGCTCTTCAATTTAGCCCAATCCCACCCTGTACTTGCCTCCCAGCTGTGAGGCTGACTGGCAGTTACTGTTTGTCCTTTCACTAGGAGTCTGCACTCATTTACATCTCAGGTTGCAACCCATGTTACAGCATGTCTACAAAGATCACCTATTAATTTTTGAACTCACCCCCATTGAATATCTGCCATATTCTTATTTTTTTTCTAGCAACATTATATTAATGATGACAAATGAAAAAGAGAAGAAAATAAATTCAAACCAGATGCCTTAAGTCCCCCACCCAACAAAAATCAATACTCCCATAGAAACTCACTTCCTTTGTGGAAATTAAAGTGGTAATTAAATCTGTCTAGTCTTTTAATTATCATAAATGTTAAACCTTCAACTCTACTTTCAAATAAGCTTCACTACATTGACCAAAATGATAAATAAATGTCATTGAAAAGCAATGGGAGTATTATTTACATATTTTATCTAGGTTTACTTTCACTAAACAGATTTTGGTAAAATATGATGTTTTAACAAAAACATCTCATTGTTTTAATGTTGCATTCATCATCTTATTGAGTTTTCATGAAGACAAAACCAAACAAAAATTCCTAGTATTTAATAGATTAAAAGCTAAATGAAGCCAGGCTCAGTGGCATATGCCTGTAATCCCAGCAACTCAGGAGGTTAAGGCAGGAGGATTGCAAGTTCAAAGCCAGCCTGAGCAATTTAGTGAGGCCCTATGCAACTCAGTGAGACCCTGTCTCTAAATTAAAAATACAAAAAAGAGGTGGGGGTGCTGGGGATGTGGCTCAGTGGTTGAGTGCCTTTGAATTCAATCTCTGGTACAAAAAAAAATGCTAAAGTAGGAAGTCAACCTAATTAAACTTTGTTTTTGTATGTGGCTATTAAGTCTAATATCTGTTTAATATCTGTTCTAGAGCAAATAATATCATATGATTGAGATCTGCCCTCACATATTATCAAATCAGCAATGGAGAATAATCTACACATTTTCAAGAAATATAAAGAACATACAGGACAATGAATATAAATAAAATTCTGTGTTTATTGGGATAACTATTCCCCACAATTGTGCATATCATTCTATGATATATGTCTTTGTATTTTATATTGCCAAAAACTTCTTAATAACTGATATTACAGGCGGCGGAAGCCTTTAGTGAACTGACAGATTCTGATTTATTTGTCTAAAATTTAACTATTTCACTTAGGGCTCTTCTTTTTCTTTTTTTTTCTTTCTTTCTTTTTTTTTTGTACCAGAGATTGAACCCAGGTGTACTTAACCACTGAGCCAAATCCCCAGCCCTTTTTATTTTTTATTTTGAGACAGCCTCTTGCTAAGTTGCTTAGGACCTCATTAAGTTGCTGAGGTTGTCTTTGAATTTGTGATCCTCCTGCCTCAGCCTCTGAGCCACTGGGATTACAGCATACACTACCATACCCAATTTCACTTAGGACCGTCTTAATCAGGAGTATAATTATGTAAAGGTACAACAGGGATATTTGGTCCACATGAGTCTATATGAAGACAAAACCTTGGTAAAGATGCTTAGAACTTTTAGTCAGGATAAAGTTGAATTGGAGAAGGTCACATTGGCTGGAAAATAAAGAACTGAGTCTTTATTATGCTCTGGATATAGGTGCCCCCCCCCCAAGTTCCTGTGTTAATGAAGAAATATTCAGAGGTAGAATGACTGGATTATGAAATCTGTAATCTTATCAGCCCATCCTGGTTTGAATGGACTGACTTTTTTTTTTTTTTTGGTACCGGGGAGTGAACTCAGGGGTACTCAACCACTGGGCCACATCCCCAGCCCTGTTTTGTATTTTATTTAGAGACAGGGCCTTGCTGAGTTGCTTAGCGCCTCACTGTTGCTGAGGCTGATTTTCAACTCCTGATTCTCCTGTCTCAGCCTCCCGAACCGCTGGACATACAGGCTATGGTAACTGTAGGTAGGTGGGGCATGGCTGGAGGAGGTGGGTCACTGTGGAAGTGCCCTGGAAGGGTTCATCTTCCCTCTGGCCCTTCTCCCCTGCCCTCTGTTTTCTGGCTGCCATACCCAGGAGCTTTTCTCTGCCAGCCTTTCTGCCATGATGTTCTGCCTTATCTTAGACCCAGAGCAATGGGCCTGGCTGACTATGGACTTAACCTCTGAAACTAGGAACCAAAATAAACTTGCTCCAAGATGTCTTTGTCAGGTATTTTGATCACAGAAACAAAAAATGGACAACCACAGTTCCTTACCCGTCTGTGAATCCAAATGCAGCCCATCCTCCAAACCCTGCAATATTACCCCCTTTCACTCAGACTTTAAGCCTGGGCTCCAGCTGCCCCCTACTCACTCCCTCAACCTGAGCCCTCCTTGCTGGGCTCAGTCAAGCTGGGCACACACGCTGGTCACTCACTGGAGTTGGACATTTCTCCCCCAAATCCCCTTCTCTAATGTCTCGCCTTCAAGCTCTCTGAGATGCCACCTTCTCAGTGACAAACAACTCTGCTGATCACACCTTGCAGCACTCACAACCCCCCCTTTCTTCCCATTCCTTCACTTTTCCCCACAACACTTATACCATTTTTAAAATTAGATTTGTTGCACACTATCTCCTCCCACTAGAATATAAACTCCATGACATCCGGAATCGCTATATTGTGTAGAGATATGTATCACCTGGAATATAGTTTGTCACATAGTACATGCTCAACAAACATTTGGCAGATGAATAAATTCACATGGGAGATAAATGCCTAATTAAGATCTACTAGAGAAAGATTAATCCAAAACAATATATAATAATGATAACATCAATTTGATGCTGTAACACCAAAAGTTATATATCAACTAAGTGCTATCAAGTGCTTTTTATAAACTAAGTACATTCTAAGCATTTTACACGGTTGTGGCAATGACATGAAATTGCTTCTCCATGCATATCCTTGCCTTATAGTCAAGGTTACTAAGAAATTCATCTAAGGTCACAAGCAAGAAAATGATGAAGCAGGATTTAATTCACACAATTCTCCAGAGGAGTCACATTCTTTTTCTGTTTTCAGGGCTGGGGATTGAACCCGGGGCCTTCCACATGGTAGGCAAGTGCTCTACTACAGAGCTACATCCCCAGCCCCAAGTACCCACATTCTTAACACTAGGAGGGATGCTTTCACCCATTTGGCACTGGACACTCTTTCAGACTGGTCCCCTTCTCTGGACACACACTCCATGTTGTTAGCAATCCAGTCTTCAGTTTCTTTCCTGGTCATATGTTCTATGGTTGCATTGGCATTTCTATGATCAGTCCATCTGAGATCAGATTGTGCATTTTTTTCATACAACAGGTATTGAAGACTATAAAGGAGACCCTGAATCAAAAATAAGATGGGAAAATGGATCGGATGGGGAAACCAATTTTGTCAGAATTACTTATTCATTGGTGATGTGAGGGGAAGACTAAAGGCTAAAGGGGGATTCCCAAGTGAGCAGGAGGTGGAAACCAATTTTAAAAGTCCATAAAGAATTTCCCAAGGTGGGTTCAAGGTATTGCTATGACAATTTGAAAGGTACATAAGAAATTTCCGGGTCTTGCTCCTTGCCTCTAAAATGTAAGCAAAACATACATTTCACTCACAGGAATCCAAGCAGGCTTTTAAAAATTAATAAAAAGAAATACCCAAAGCACGAGATGTTATTTTTATAATCAATGATTTGAAAAACTATCACAGTTAATTTTTGCTAATTTTCCTCTTCCACTAAATAAATTAAGTGGCATTACTTCTTCAGTTATAATATATGTGGGTACATGAACCATCAGAAATATGTAGCTGAAAAGCAGTAAGATTATTATTGCTTATATTCCATTTACTTAATTCAGAAATAAATAGGGATTCATCACATGCTAAAAGCAGCAATTTGATTCACTCAAACTTCCTTTGAGGTCACTGGAAGTTATACAGACCATAAATGTTCTCTGGTTCCTGATTCCATTGGGAGATCTTTAATATGTCAGGAAGCAATACAGGCTTAGGTTTTAAGGCTGGATGAAATAAATATGCTGTGATGAAAATAAATATGCTGGATGAAATAAATATGTCCATTCCTAGGGCTTCATT